TGAAGAGATGTGTGTGCCTGGTTGGTAGGTGTGTGCCTGGGTTTCTGGCTTTGTCATCTACCTCTCTCCTGATCAAGTGAGACACTGGGGAACTGAATAAAAGAATCTTTCTGTGGCCTTTGCTTTCGTCTGATTGAAAGTGATCCCCCTGCAGGATTGGCCTTTGACAGGTGGGAGGGGAAAGAATGAGAACCAAGAAGAGCAATAAGCTTGGCCCAGGGCCCATGAGTGGCCTTCCCTGGGGCTCTGGGATGAAGAAAGCCTCGCTGTCCAGGGTTATAGAACCAGCAGTAAAAATATGGATACTTTATTTTCTCTGGGACTGAACAGCGGCCCTCTGGTGCAATCCTTAATGAAGGAAAGTAGCTACAAGATCAGCAAGACCTTCTCGCCAGACATCCCCCCACTTCTCCCTCTACCTCTTATTGAGAAGGAAGCTCTTCCCAAAGACAGCACAGGGACCACCGCTCAGCCTCCTTGAAATCCCTCATGGTTACCTGGCTCCTTTCCCTCTACAAACAGTTCTTTGAAACACTTTCTCCTTCCCTGATTAAGCACTGTGTTACAGGCGGACTCTCCAGGCCAGCTGGACCGATTCCTTGTGTACGGCGATGGATACAAGACTCTTCGTGATGCGGTGGGCAGAGCCATCCTGGAGTGCAATCCCAAGGGCATGGCAGCTGCTCTGGAGGTAGGGCGGCTCCAGGTTTCTCTGGGGCACAAGACAGCCCCTACTCAGGGCCCACATCCGCCCGTGTCTGAGGGTGCAGTGGAGATGGACTAATGAAGGCTCAGTCAGCAGCACCCTACACTGGCAGCCATGTGTCCGTGATCTCCACAGTCAGTGGTAGACAGCTGGGGAACTAGTTGCTGAAACAGAGCAGCAACAACAGATAAGCTGAGTTGACAGAATAACTAGTCCACTGGCAGGCCAATGTCATAAGCAGATCCTTTTTTATTTCTACATGCCCATTACTTCCTGTGTAAGATCCTGCTGAAGAATTACTTCCTCCATGCCTGTGTATGTTCATAATTCATCTATACATGCGCGTGGCATGTATATTTTCATAAAGATGCTGGGATGTTCAAACTTAATCTTTAGTGGTCAGGTAGGCTTCCTTTTTAGGTCTTGTTGTCCCTGACATTGGGCTGGCAAGAGAGGAAATAGTAAATTTTCTCTCTGCTCAAGAAGAGTATACAACAAAAAGAATACAGAAAGGAGTATTCAACTAATGAATTAGTCAGAAAAAAGGCAAATGGTGATTGCTGTTACTTCTGTCACGTTATTGTTAAGTGCCATTGAGTCAATTCTGACTCATAGAGACCCTTGCACAACAGAAGAAAACACTACTCAGCCCTGCACCATCCTTACAACTGTTGCTATGTTTGAGCACATTGCTGCAGTCAGTGTGTCAAACCATCTTGCCCAGGGTCTTCCTCCTTTAGCCTCACCCTCTTTACTAAGCATGATGTCCTACTCCATGGACAAATTTCTTCCAATACTGCATCCAAAGTACATTCTCACCATCCTTGTTTCTAAGGAGCATTCTTCTTCCAAGACAGATGTCTGTTCTTCTGGCGCTCCACGGTATCTGTGTCTTTGCCCAACATCATTAATTCACACCAATCAATTATCTTCTGGTCTTCCTATTTGTTGTCCAGCTTTCTCATTCCTGTGAGGAGACTAAAGATACCATATCTTGGTTCAGGATCACCTTAGTCATCAAAGTGACATCTTTGTTCTTTAACATTTTAAAGAGGTATTTTGTAAAAAAGAAATTGCCCAGTACAGTCTGTCATTTGATTTCTTTACTACAATGAGTTAGGTTTATTGTGCCAACCTGGTCAATAGGAACATGTGGAGTTAATCAGGTCACAGTTTGATTGAAGAGCAAAGAGATAAATGACTCTGCAAGGCCCGCCCCCCTCTCCTGCTCTCTGGTAATTGGAGTGTGCTGCTGCTTGAGCTGGTTCTCTGCCTCAACCTCTGAGTTACACTACCTGTGGGCCAGGCCAACCTGTGGTTTGTGGAGCTAGAGCCTGACGTTACTTCCAGACCTGCTTCACCATGCTGCTGGTACGTAAACTGCTTGAGTTTAAGACTGGTGAATCCTGTCGCCTTGCATTACTTGCTTTTGATATCCCATCCAGGCCTGCTTTGCTAAAACTCCTGAGCTACTGACACTTGGTGACTCACTCTGCTGCTTGCTGCCTGTGGGCAGACTCTGCTTGTTCTGCCCAAGGGAGGACTCCGCTATCTGCTTCCTTGACCTTGGACCCGGCAGTATATTAACTGTTCCATAGAAGTGAGTTGAACTGAACCCTCTGTACTGTTGTGTGCGCTAAATAGCTGTTATACTCCTTCTAACTGTATAAACCTAT